CAGAAACTCAATTCTCCAAAAACAGAGAAACTGGGAAATAGGAAAAGGAAAGGTGATCACAGGGACGGGCATCAGGGCCCTCCTCCCCCAAAGGTCTCCAAAGCTAGTCATGAAGTATTACAAAACTCTTCACCCCCTCCAACCAATGGGATTGGAGGTAGTCCTGAAAATTTTCCTAGTCCTGTAGACATAAACCTACATGCAGGGCCTGAAAGCAGCAGGACAGATCTCAGTGAAAACGATAAACACAATAAGATCCCAGTAAATGCTGTAAAACCTCACACCAGTTCTCCAGGACTTGTAAAACCTTCAAGCACTTCCTCATTACTAAAGACTGCAGTGCTTCAGCAGCATGATAAATCAGAAGAAGCCACGGGCCCCCACCAGCCCAAGAGCCCACGCTGCTCCTCCTTTAGCCCCAGGAACGTTAGGCATGATACTTTTGCTCGGCAGCACACCACGTACTCACCAAAGGATTCGATGCCCAGTCCATCTCAAAGGTCTCAGTTCGCGGACGCCGCGCCGGTGCCGTCGCCGCCTCCATCCCTGATGCAACCATCCACACCTCCCATGCCAGCCAAGAGACTGGAGTTCCCTGCTCAGGCGGCCCCCGAGGTGGCACAGCACTGGCAGGAGCAGCAGGGAGCCCCCGAGGGCCAGCACAGGCACACAGCAGGGACACTTCAGCAGCACACGGCTCCCGGCTGCAAAGGCCACCCCGGGGAATCGCACACGGGCTTCCCACAGGACACTTCCAGAATGGACAGTGATGATGCTGCTTCAGGGTCTGATAGCAAAAAGAAGAAAAGGTACCGACCCAGAGACTATACAGTCAACTTGGATGGGCACGTGATAGAAGGGGGTGTGAAACCTGTGAGGTTAAAAGAGAGAAAACTCACTTTTGATCCCATGACAGGACAGATAAAACCTTTAACACCGAAAGATCCTTTGCAGGTAGAAATCCCTGCACTAACTGAACAGCACAGGACAGAAACGGAAAAGCAGGAGCAAAAACCCAACCTGCAAAGCCCCTTTGAACAAACGAACTGGAAAGAGTTGTCCAGAAATGAAATCATTCAGTCATATTTAAACAGACAGAGTAGCTTGCTGTCTTCATCAGGAGTACAGACTCCAGGAGCTCACTACTTCATGTCTGAGTATTTAAAGCAGGAGGAAAGCACTAGAAAAGAGGCTAGAAAGACTCACGTTCTAGCTCCTAACAGCAAACCTACAGACTTGCCTGGGGTCACCAGAGAGGTCACGGGCGATGACCTCGACAGAATACGTGACCACAACTGGCCGGGCGTGAACGGTTGTTATGACACACAGGGTAACTGGTATGATTGGACACAGTGCATATCCTTAGATCCACACGGGGATGATGGGAGATTGAACATCCTGCCTTACGTCTGCCTAGACTGAGAGCAGTCCTGCTAAGCACGCTTTTTCCACCTGCACTTAGCAGAACTGGCAGACACTGATGCCACTTCCAGCTGGAGAGAGCCTCCTGTCCTGGACAAACAGGCCCCACGAGCAGAGGGGGGGAGGGAGCTGGGCCTTTTCCAGCTCGTTCCTTTAAATTCTCCTTTTTTGTGAAATGCTGCTACCAGTTTACTAACAATTGCAAAAGGAAGGCATACGAAGGTTTGATCAGTTGAGTTTAAAACTCTTATAGCGAGCCAGCTATAAAAAGTGTTAGTCCCCAAGAAGTGAAGAGGATTTCCAGCACTTTCTGAATGCCGGAATCTTATTACAGGCAGGTACAGAGAAAAAAAAAAAAAAATTGTGGAAGTTACCTTAACAAAATATGCATCTATTTATTTGACTTGATTTGGGTTTTTATTTGGCAGTGAGATATTCGAGAGACAATGTGCAAAAACTGTAGTTTTATTTCTATCACATCTCTGAAACATGATTGAGTTATTTAAGAGTCATGTGGTACGGAGATTGGGTTTTAAACAGCAGGTGTTGCACTGCAGGCTGGGCCACCAGCTTCAGCTCAACATTCCATAGGCATCCACATATTTTAGTCTGGTTTCAGTTTAAATCCAGTCTCTGAGAAATGCTGCAAAAACTAGATGTTTAACGATATTTTTTGATCCCACCACCACCAGCCAAATATTTTTCCTCCTTTTCCCTTCCTGCAAACTTATAGGTAAAAAAGAAAAAGACAAAAAAAACAAAAAGACAAAAAGAAAAAAAAAAAAAAAGAAAAAAAAATCACCTTTTCTAGAATCTAAATGTAATGAGGGTGCTACAAGTTTGTAACTGTACTGTGAGAGGGAAAAAGGAAGCCTGTTTGTATGCTGGAAATATACTTGTTACCATTCCTTTAGATATTGTTTGCCTTATGGATATCCATCATAAACGCAATTTGCAAAAACAAAGAGCCTTAGTGAATGTACAGTAACTAGACTTCTGTGTTCCTGGGATGCAGAAGGGAGCAACTTTGCTATTTGGTCCTTTAAGTGGACACGTTGTGATATAAATGTGGAAATAAAAAAAATTTGCACAAACCAGTTTGTGAATTATTTATATACACACTCCACTCGTTTTTCTCCCCTGAGTCTGCTCAGTTCAGCCCAGCCAGGGGAGCCCTGGCACCAGGGACCCCTCAGAGCAGGGAGGTGGAGCTGAATCCCTTGGACACTGCCCCAGGGAGAACAGGAATGTCTTCCAAGAACCTCGCTGTGCTGTCCAGTCACACAGGGTGGATCTGTTTTAACTCTGGAGACTGATAACCCAACTGCTGATAATGTACCTCAAAGTCTAAAGAGATCAGATTTCATCTTTGTAATGTTTTATTCCTGTTTGTTACAGTGCTTTCTGAAGCAGCCTGGGGTGTGGAAAGTGAAGGATTATTTCTATTAACTGTAATTGCTTTAATATTTGGGGCTGTGCTGTTTGATGCAGTCCCCACTGTTGGGTTTTTGTTCAGGGGGTTGGGGAGGGGACACTATACCAAAAATATTCCTGGGTTTAGTGATGTTAACTCTGTTAAGTCATCTGTGCTGGAGATGAGCCCTGGCAGGAGCTGTCCTGCCTTTGAGGGTAGAGTGAAGCTCTTCCCTGATTTTTCAAAGGAAGGTGCTCCTGGCCAGGCCTGCATGGTGTTGGTTCATTCCCTGGAATACAACTGATGAAGTCTGGTTTTATTTTTAAGTCATTCTTGTTCATCATTTATGATCTGACTGTTACTGAAATGTGTGGGTATCTCAGAAATAACAATGTCTGTGTGCTTCCATTTCTGAAATCTGAGGTCTGAGAGTGAAACCAGAAGTGGTTACCAAAAAATGCATCCAAGTATATTTTCAGTTTACTTCCATTTTGTCCTTCTGCAGTTGCTGAGGTTGAGCAGTGTGGTTTAGAGCTCCTGTCCTGCAGCTCAGATTGGATGGCAGAGGGCTAAGCTGCTGGTCATTTTGGAAATGCTTAAGTTTTGTTTATGTAAAAAAGTACTGTGCATCTTATCTCCTCCTGCCCTTCCTCCCTCCTTCCTTGAATGGTCCCATTTAGGAACAGGGTCCGTGCTCTTTGGAGGCCTTTGAATTCAGGAAATGACAAAGTATTACTTGATAAATTCCATCTTTTTCTCCACTGCTTCCATTTCTGATGCAATTGATGGCCCTTGACTGCACTGGGTGAGGTGATACCCAAAGCTCATCACAGCTTTCAGATTCCACCCAAACTGCCTGTGCTGGTGCTCCTCTGTTTGGGGAAGCATCAGGAATCAGACCCAGCCCTTTCCCTGGTGGTACAAAAACTGCCGGAGAAATTCCCTCCCAATGCAAGCTTTAAATCTTGTTCCTTGCTGAGTTTGTTGCTGCTGTAAGGGGTCAACTCACTTGTGTGTCCTCCAGGGTGAGATGAGGCTTGACAATCTTTATTTCAGCATGCCAGTATAACCAGTTCTGTGAGCTCCAACAAATGTGAATAAGTTTACAAGGTGATATTTTTTTGTCAATTTTGTAAACAAGTTCAAATGAAGTTTACCATGTGCGTACCTGCTGTGTACTCTCATTTGTGCATGACTCAGTTTCTCTGCTACTGCCTTCTCCTACCTCTCTTGCAAAATTTCTCCTTCGAATCCTAAAGCCTGAAGTTAAAACACTGCCATTTCTTCCTTGTGACGGGATGACACGAAATGGCTGATCAGCAAATCTCTGGGGAGTTGCTATCACCTAAAATCCGTGGTTTTATGGCCAAATTAATTCTGCAGAAGTCTCTTGACAGGGTGCATGGACGAACCGGGCTCTCCAACACCCCCTCCTGCCTGCCAGGTACTCACCCATCCTTTACCCCGGCCTTCCTCGCTTTAGTTTTAAAGGTCGGGAGCGCTGGTCTCGGTGCCTGCGAGCCCGCGACCTTCGCTCCGTCCTTGCCCGGCGCTCCAAGGGTCGGTTCTGCCTCCCTGGAGGCGGCTCCGCTCCCCGAGCGCTGTCCCGGGTCACGGCAACCCCTGGGGCTCCCGGGGCCGGCCCCGGCTCAGGGCAACCCCTGGGGCTGCCGGGGCCATGAGGGGCCGGGCCCGGCTCACGGCAACCCTGGGGCTCCATCGCCCCGGAGCCGGCGCCGAGGGCACGGGGACCGTGGGGAGCCGAGCCCGGCTCACGGCAATCCCTGGGGCTCCATCGCCTTCGGACCCCGCGGGGCCGGGCCCGGCTCACGGCAGCCCCTGGGGCTCCATCGCCCCGGGACGGGCACGGAGGGCGCGGGGATACCGCGGGGCCGAGCCCGGCTCACAGTAACCCTGGGGCTCCATCACCCTGTGCGGGGCTGGGCCCGGCTCACGGCAACCCCTGGGGCTCCATCGCCCCGAAGCCGGTACCAGGAGCGCGGGGATCCCGCGGGGCCGGGCCCGGGCCGGGCGGGGCGGAGGCAGCCAAGCGCCGGAGGAACGGAGGAAGTGACGCCCGGATCCCGCCGTGGCCCCGCGGCCGCCCCGCCCCAGGAAGCGACGCGCCGGGGCCGCGCTGACGTTCGGCGGCGGCTGCGGAGCGATGGCGGCGCCGCTGGCGGCTCCGGGCGGCGCCGGGGCCGGTGGCGGGCCCGGGGCGGGGGCGGCGCGGGGCGGGCGCGGGCCGGCGCTGCGGGAGGGGGCGCGGGTGTCGGCGCTGTGCCTCGCCTGGTACGGGCTGAGCGCCGGCGGGAACGTGGTGAACAAGCTGCTGCTGGGCGGCTTCCCGCGGCCCGTCACCGTGTCGCTGTTCCACATCCTGGGGCTGTGCGGGCTCCTGCCGCCGCTGCTCCGCGCCTGGCGCGTCCCGCCCGCCGGGCCCGCGCAGCTGCCGCCCCGCGCCTACCCCCGCTACATCCTCCCGCTCGCCTTCGGCAAGTACTTCGCCTCCGTGTCCGCGCACGTCTCCCTCTGGAGGGTGCCCGTGTCCTACGCGCACACAGGTGAGGGATGCGGGTGTCCCTGGGGTGTCCCGGTGCTGGCTGTGCTCGTACGGAGGTGCTCGGGGGGTGCCCTGGGGGTCAGAGTGTATTCATGCCCAGGGGTGTGACCTGAAGCAAGGTGTGTGCTTGTATTGGCACCTGGTGCAGTGTCCCGGTACCTAGTGTGGGTGCCCAGTGCAGTGTCCCAGTACCTTCTCTGTGCTCCTACAGCTATCCATTGCAGTGTCCCAGTACTCTCTCTGTGTTGTGAATACCCAGTGCAGTGTCCCAGTGCCCAGTGTGGTGTCCCAGTACCCACCCTGTGCTCGTACCGGTGCCCATTGCAGTGTCCCAGTGCCCAGTGTGTGCTGTTGGCACCCAGTGCAGCATCCCAGTGCTCACTGTGTGTGCTGTGTATCCCCAGAGCTGTGCCCCTGTCCCCAGTGTGTGCTGGCAGCAGATCCAGGGGCAGTGCCCCAGTGTGTGCCCTGTGGGTGCCCAGAGCACCAAGGTCCGGTTGGTGACAAGTGTCCAAGTGTCCAGGACAATGACAGGAATGGAGCACCCATCCTGGGCTGGGCTCCGTCCCTGTGCTGGTGGTGGTTGCTGGAGCTGTCCCAGTCCCCAGTGATGTTTTCTTGCTGTCCCCAGTGAAAGCCACCATGCCCATCTGGGTGGTTCTGCTGTCACGGATCATCATGAAGGAGAAGCAGACGACGAAGGTGCGGACAGGTTTGCTGAGGTTTCTTCTCTTGGTGCTGCTTGGGGGAGGCTGTGCTGGCTTTGGATAGATTTTGTGACTAGAATTAGATTTTTAAAATCCCTTTTCCTTTTGTTGTGAGTGAACAATGACCAGGGTGATGCTGTGTGATGCACAGGAGTTGTCAGTGTCTACTGCAGTCACTTAAATTTCCTTGAGCTGCAGCAGTAAAATGGTTGATCCCTAAATCAGCAGGATGTATAAACTGGTGGAAAATTCTTAGCAGATGGAATTTACCCCTCTGTCCCTGCTGCAGGTGTACCTGTCCCTGATCCCCATCATCACTGGTGTCCTGCTGGCCACGGTCACAGAGCTGTCCTTTGACATGTGGGGACTCATCAGTGCCCTTGCTGCTACGCTGTGCTTTTCTCTTCAGAACATCTTCTCAAAGAAGGTACAGCTGTGTTCCCAGCTCTGGTGTCACCCTTCAGCAGGACAGGCTGTCATTTCAGTTACATAAATGGATTTTTTTTAGTTGGCTTTGCAATCAGACAAGCCCAGAGGGTTGGTTGTTATTTTGTGTGTTCCCTGCAGCTCTTCCTACCTGTTGAAGCTGTTACACTGAGTTTATCCTGAGCCCTTTCTTTACTCTTCAATGTGGATTTTTTTTTTTCTGGTGGCAATTCAGTAGTGCTCAAATTAATGTATCTTGTTATATCAAAATCATTCCTCTGTGCTGAGCAAGTCGCTGTCAACACTGAGCACTCCTTGAAACCACAGTAACAAAATTAAAATGTGTGGTTTGCTTCTATTTAGTTACAAAATGGTTTCTGTTTTGTAGAGCTATCAATATATATTATATAAATTAATTTATATTATATTATATTATATTATATTATATTATATTATATTATGATGTATTATATAAATTATATCTATTAATATTAATATCTTGTTGGTACTAAGAGCCACCACTGAAAAAAACATTATTTTTCAAAAACACATCAATTTTTCTTTGGCTATCCTAATAGAAAATTAATATTATAAGGATATTTACTTATTTTCCTATTTTACCTGGCACCTGGAGCAGTTTGTTTCCTGACTGCTGTTCAATAATGGCTCTTGCTAGGTGTTGAGGGATTCCAGAATTCACCACCTTCGGTTGCTGAACATCCTTGGCTGCCACGCTGTGTTCTTCATGATCCCAACCTGGGTCCTGGTGGATCTTTCTTCCTTCTTGGTAGAGAATGACTTGGTAAGTGCAGAATTTGGAGAACTGTTTGCTATTATGAAAGAAAATAGAAAAAAAAACCAAACAAACTCCAGCAACCAACCAGAAAAGTGCTCTGAAGTGTTTCAGTGTGGAAGGAAGTGTTGTGAAACACCTGCAGATTGTTTCACAGGAGTTAACAAAGTGTTTATTGTGAGAACAATATTATTATTATTGTTATTATTCCTGTCAGGGTTAGCAGGGGCAGTTCATGGACAGCAGAAATGTCCGGAGTTGGGAGCTGGAGGCAGAACAAACACTCCCAGAGTGTTGGGGAATTTCCTCCTCTGGTTTCTCTGAGTTGGGAATTGCATAAAGCAAAGAGCTTGGGGGCCTCTTCAGAGCTCAGTGCAGACATTCCTGCTCCAAAGGCAGCTAAAAGTGCCTCAGGCTGTGTTTGTGTTGTTACCTGAAACCCGAGATAATTTTTTTTCCTCCTGCTGTTTACTTTTCCACAGAGCTCCATGTCCCATTGGTCCTGGACCTTGATGCTGCTTATAATCAGTGGATTCTGTAATTTTGCCCAGAATGTGATTGCCTTCAGCATCCTGAACCTGATCAGCCCCCTGAGTTACTCGGTGGCCAATGCCACCAAGAGGATCATGGTGATCACCGTGTCCCTCATCATGCTGCGCAACCCCGTCACCAGCACCAACGTCCTGGGCATGATGACAGCCATCCTGGGGGTCTTCCTCTACAACAAGGTGAGGTTTGTTCACCAGGAAACACAGCTGGAGCAGTCCTGCAGCTTTGAATGATTGTTTGTACAAGTTGGAGCAAAAACAGGCAACACAAAAGGCACAAAGTTCCATTGCAGAGGAGGGATGAGCATGGCCCAGGTGGAGGATTTGGGTCACAGCAGCTGCTGGGCCTCTCACACAATTAAATTTTGATCTTGAGCTCTTTTTGAAAAGAGAAGTAACTCGGAATCTCTTGAGCAAAAGTTTGTTTGGCATGTGAGAGGAGTGAGGTTTTTATTAGAAGCCACTGATATTTTAAGGCTGTAATAAAAAAAGTGATGTGGCTGTAGGACTGGCTGCTTTTTTCTGGGTATGGGAATATGTCTGGGTGGTATCTTAGGTGATATCTAAGGAAATCTGCCTGCACTGAAGGGTTGTGAGGGTTTGGAAGGGCTGCCCAGGGAGGTTTGGAGTGTCCATTCCATCCCTGGAGGTGTCCAAGGAAGGCACTCAGTGCCACAGGGTGGGGATAGGGCAGAGCTTGGACTTGATGATCTCAGATTTTCCTGTGGGAATCTTTAAAATTAGAGGGTTTGGGGAAAGCTGCAAAAGGGAGGTTTTAGAGACAGCAGAACTGCAATTAGAGCTAAGCAGTAGCCATGAGATTTGACAGCAAAAAAGTTCTATGAGAAGTAGAAAGTAAGGACAACTAGAACAATGGTCTGTGTATTAATGCTTGGATAGAATAACTCCCTAAACTACAGAAAAATATATCTAGTGAGATATTATGAAGTTCTAATTATAAGTAATATCATTAGAGTAATATTACTGATTATTAAAGTAATATTAATTATTAAGCTAATAATAATTAATTATTAAAGTAATATTAATGAATACTGATTATTAAAGTAAACATTAATAAGTTAATATTGATTTTTACCAAGTAATATTAGTATATTAATTAGATATTAGAAAATTCTAAGCTTAATAATGGAGCTCTGTGCATTGAGTTTGAAGGCTTAAAAGCAGGTATTGTATTTGAAATAAGCAAGAATTGTTTTAACCAAAGGTAGGTGTTATTATAGTGACTGAATAGAACTGCTGTCAATATAGAATATATACTATAAGAATATATACTATAGAATATATACTGTAGAATATATACTATACATATAAATACTGTCAATATATACTATTCTATTCTATAGAATATGTGCTATAGAATATATACTACACAGATATAAATGCTGTCAATAAAATTCTTGCTTTGTGTGATTGGTCAAAAAACTTTTAAGTGACATTAAGTGACTTCTAAGTGACAAGTAACATTAGGTTCTTTGTCTGCTGCCTGGGATGTGAGCTGCTGGCATCTTCCCATTGCCATAACCCTGTAATGAGACAGATGCTGGAAAATAAAACAGTTTGGGAAGTGTCCCCAGCATCCCCATCCCATTTGTGATTTGTACACCAACCCCAAGCCAGTGATATTTGCCCAGCCCAAATGATTCTGTGACAAACTTTCTTTCCTTTCCCAGACAAAATACGATGCAAACCAAGAGGCAAAGAAGCAGCAGCTTCTCCCAGTGACCACTGGAGACCTGGTGAACTTGGAAAGGCACCGAAATGCTGCTGAGAAGTCCCAGAATGGACTCGCAGCCTTTGGCCAGCACGGGGACTTCCTGCGCAGCAACGTCCTCACAGAGCACTTGCAGTTCAGCAGGCAGAGCTACCCCACAGCCTACAACCTCAATAGGTTTGATATTTAGGATCTCCTGGCACAAAGGTACAGACTGTGATATCAAAGTGTCCCCAGCATTATCAGAACACTTCCAGTACATCCATGAATGTCACGGAGCCATTGAGGTGTGCAGCTTGCAGGGCAGGGCAGGGGAGCGGTGCAGGAGCTGCTGGGCTGAGCTTTAAACCTGGGACAGCCAGACCTGGAACAGCTTTAAACCTGGGACAGCCAGACCTGGAAGAGCTTTAAACCAGAGCTGACACTGGAACCAACCTCACAGAGCAGGTCCTGCTGAGGTGGGAGTGACACTGCACGGTGGAACATCTGCCACTGCTCCTTTCAGGCTCTGCCAGCTCCTTGTTCTCTTGGCAGCTGAATTCTGGCCAGTATCTCCTTTCCATGCTGGTAATGTCACCTTTAACTTGTTCTCTAATAACGGTTCAATGATCCTTTTGATGAAGCTTTCAGGAAGAAGTGAAAGCAAGGGGTGTATGTGCTGATCAGGATTTGCCTGGGGAGGATCAGCTGTAGGCAGGTAAGGTCGAGTTCATCTCCAGCATCTGTGCAGCTCCTTGTGGATATTCACAACTCCTGTGCCTCTGCCTCCAGCCCTGGATGAGAAAGCAGAATTGTTTCTGCAGGAGCAGGCAGTGGAAGGATTGATTTCTCCCAGAACCGCTTCAGGAAAAACACAGTTCTCCAAATCACTGCTCGTGGCAGAGAACAGCCAAGCCCAACCTAAAATCATCATTGTTTTCTGAATCATGTAGTCCAGACATTGCTATCCCCTGGCCATGCAGGAAACTCCTTCAATAAAAAGTGTTTGGAATAATGTGATTTTATTTTTTTACTTGCTTCACACCTGTTCTTTCAAAACTGTTTTGTTGCTTTAGAAATTGAAAGGTGAAAGGTGTTTTGTTCTCACTTTTATGCTCTCTTATATGAGTTATATCTTTTCAATGCATTGATTTGAACAATCACCATTATTAATTGTTTCTTAAATCTTTTTAGCCTCTAATTTGGGTTTTTTAAATTTCTTAATCACTGCTGTTGGAGTAGCTGTGTGGATTTAGGTTGACTTCCACCTCCTGCTGAAAGAAATTAAATTTTGTATCCTGTGCTGTTCCTGCAACTCCCCTGGCTCGAATAGGAAATGAAAGAAAAACTGAAAAACTGTTTGAATCAGCAGTAAATAGATAATTTATGGCTGAAAACTGGTTCAGAATAAATTCTAGACAAGGTGATTGTGTGTGTCAGGTACAGATTTGTGCATGGAAGGGATGAACCTTGGCTTTCCTTCCTTTGAATGAAATTCCTTGGAATGAAGTGAAAGCCAACTTGGAACTTGGGTTTCACTGAATCAGAATTTTCTGTCCTTGCTTTAGTAAAAGATTTTAGGGGCCTTCTTTCCTTCCCAGACTGTTGTACAGTGAGACTTTGATAGCATAACTTTTATGCTTTTAACCAGAGAGGTACCAGGGACAAACCCCAGGGTGTGTCCCAGAACACTCCTCTTATTTATTGCTTTCAAATGACCATTTCCATGATGTGAGATGATGATTTGGCTCCTTTCTGGATAATAAAGGATTTATTTTTAAGTGCAAGATCAAGCTGATCTTATTCTTTTGGCTGCTGGGGTGGTAGTTACACGAACAGCATGTGAGAGGAGTGAGGTTTTTATTGTTCCACCAGAGTCCAAAAGAGGAAATGGTCCTTCTGAAACTTCAAAAATGGGTTAAAAATGCTGCTGCTGCTGGGTGTGAGCAGAACTTCTTGCCTTGACTGGAGTTCAGTGTTAATGCCAGCTGAGAATTTGGGATTTTGGCAGAAAATCTAAATAAATCTGAACAAGGTCATGAGGAAATCTTTCCTTCAGGTGAAATTTCTTTTGCCTGGTCCAGTATTAATGAGTGTATAATTACTTCTTTGGAATATGGGGAAAATGCCAAATGTGGATTTCTAGGGCTCATTTGCCAACATTTCAATGCTTTTACCTGAAAGTAAAAAGGATTTGGTGCTGACTCTGGGTTTGGATTTGGATTTGGTGAACTCTGGATTTGAATTTGGTGCTGACTCTGCAGAGACTCATTTGAGGCTGAGATTTCAGAAGGGGCTGAAATTTTCCAGCTGCTCTCAAAGGCTGGGACCTGGTGAATCCTGCAAACCCTGAATTGTGTCTTTGTGCCTCAGTTTCCCTTTTGGGAAATGGAGATTATTCTTCTTTAATCACGGGGGGTAAAATACCAGAAAAAAGTGGCAGTGGGGATGTGCAGGGATCCTCTGAGTTCATCTCCCCATCCTCTGCTGTGCCAGGTTCCTGCAACTTCAGCTGCCACAGGGAGTAAATAAAAACCAGACCAGAGATTTTATTAAAAATATTCAGATTTGTTTCCTTTTAAAGAACGTAACCAAACCTTTTCTGGCAAATGTTTTCACAGTGAGCTTGCCCTGCACACTTCCCAGAGAAGATTTAAGCTCAGTTTTTTTCTGTAGTCTTGCCAGCAGCTGAAGGTTTCCTGTTCAGAACTGTCCCAAATTCCAGTCTGGCCCAAAATGAGGATTTCCCAGGAGGATAAAGGATCTTTTTAGGGCTCAGGAATGAATCTGCTCCAGGTCTGTGGGCAGTAGGGAGGGCTGGGTGTGGTGCAGGGGGACATTAAACCTGCCAGGTTCCACAGGGTGGATTTGCTGGATCCCAAATCCCAGTCCTTAAGCAATATTGCCCCCATCGAGGGAAAGGAACTTCCTGGCATTGCTGAAATAAACATTTGCATCTTGGAGCTGTGCAAGGTTTTTTGTTTGGCCAAGTGGGATGTTTGTTTTAAGCTGGTTTGTAAATGAGGGGTGTGTTTGGCTCTGTACACAGGGCTGGGGGAAGGACAGAAAAGCTGGAATAAAGAGGGCAAAGTCTGCACAATGTGTACAATGACCCTGTTATTAAATCAAAGGCAAGGGTTTGGGTTCACTCCTTGCAGGAAGCTCTGGGAGTGTCATAATGGGCACTGCTGAGGAGCTGGGTGGATGTGATCACTCACAAATGCTGAAACCAGGGTTAGAACTGGACTTACTTGAGATATTTTGATTTTTACTATGCATTTTTTACACAGAAATTCATCACAACATTGAAAAACTTCTTCCCCAAGCAGCCCTGGGTAGTTGTGGAAATAAGAAAACCAAATTCCCCCCACTCCGTGTGGGTGTTCTGTTGGCAGTTCCAAAGAGTATTTGGTGCTCTTTAAAAATATTCCCCCTGCAGGTTCAATTTTGGTAAGAGGATCTTTATCATCTGGTAAAATGCTTGTGGTTTTTAAATAACTGAATGCTAAATAAAATTGAGGCAAGACTTAGGCTTTGTAAGTGCACAGTGATTTGTAAAAATAGTGTTGGTATTTTGGGGTCAACTCATGATGATTTCCAAAGCTCAGTTTTCCTTTCTAATCTGTTCAAACCCATTTTTTTCTGATGCAGCATTTTGCAGCAGAAGGAGTTTCTGCCATGTGGCTCTTTGTGAAACAGGTGCAATATAAATAAAGGGAAAATTTTGTTTTTTCAAGGCTTAAATTTCTGGGTCGTGCTGTGAGCTGTTAAAAATAATTCTGAAATCTCTTTGTGATGATGTTCAGGGCAGTGAAAGGAATTTCTTAACCCTGAAGTGACAGGTGGTGCAGATATCCAAGGGGTACCCAGCTTTTTTTTTGTTGTTATTTTATATTAATCTCCTATAAATTGATGGGAATATGGATGAGTTTCCCAAAAAACCCAAACCAACCCCACACCCCTAATTCCTGTGTGGAATCCTGCCCTTCAGCAAATGAACTTTTTGGTGTTGTTTTCCTGTTTAGTTGTTCTGTGAAGTTCTGGATGTCACTCAGTGGATCCTGCTGAGATTCCTTTGGAACAAAAAGGAGCTGTGACACTGGGACAAAATTGTCACACTGGGACTGCAGCTCCTGGGGCTCCTTCCTGCCTTCACCAGGAGGTCACACAGCTTTTGGTGGATCCCTGTGCAGCAAATCCCCAGGGTCACTGGGCTGGGGACACTGGTGAGTCCCTGGTGTCATTGTGCTGGGGACAGCAGCAAATCCCCAATGTCACTGTGCTGGGGAGAGCAGAAAATTCCTGATGTCACTGTGCTGGTGACACCAGTGAGCCCCCAGTGTCACTGGGATGGGGACACCAGCGAATCCCTGATGTCACTGTGCTGAGGACAGCAGAAAATTCCTGATGTCACTGTGCTGGGGACACTAGCAAATCGTTGATGTCACTGTGTTGGGGGACAGCAGTGAGTCCCCAGTGTCACTGTGCTGGGGGCACCATTGAGTCCCTGGTATCACAGTTCTGGGGAAAGCAGAAAATTCCTGATGTCACTGTGCTGGGGACACAAGCAAATCCCTGCTGTCACAGTGCTGGGGTCAGCAGCGAGTCCCTGATGTCACAGTGCTGGGGAAACCAGCAAGCCCCCAGTGTCACTGTGCTGGGGACAGCAGCAAGCTCCTGATGTCACCATGCTGGGCATAGCAGTAAATACCCAGTGTCACTGTGCTGGGGGACACTAGTGAGTCCCTGGTGTCATTGTGCCAGGGGACAGCAGAAAATTCTTGATATCACTGTGCCAGGGGACACCAGTGAGTCCCTGGTGTCACTGTGCTGGGGACAGCAGCAATTCCCCAATATCACTGTGCTAGAGACAGCAGTGAATCCCTGATGTCACTGTGCCAGTGCCACCAGCGAGTCCCCGGTGTCACCCCCGTTCCTGCCCTGCAGTTCCACCTTTATCCACAAGGCGGCGCAGCGAGCGAGCCCTCAGGACGCTGCAGTTCCTCCCGGTCACCGCCAGGCGGCGACAGCAGCGACTGAAATAGAACCAAAATCCCAGACTTCAGTTTGTTAGAGGAAAAAATAAACACAGAAACCTCGATTTCCTCCTCATAGAAGCGATTTTCTTACAATTTCAAGGTCTGCATGCTTAATTTTTACATATATATATATATAAAAGTTATATTTGTATGTTCAAGAGCTATATGTATCTGTACTCAGAATTCCTTACCTTCTAAAATTTCTGTGTATTATACAGATGAACAGGGTTATTTGGAAAAACCCTCAGTTATTATATCAATTAATATTATTTTTCAGTATGTGTATTAATAAGAAATTTTCAAGCAAGGAATTAAAACATAGGGACAGGAAGCCAGAGGTGGATGGAAGAAATTCTCATTGAATTCTCAAGCATTCTCATGTTTGGCTTTTAGGGTTTTATGCTGAAGGTGCAAAGCATGAACAGAGCAGGCTATCAGCATCAGAGGGAGGTGAACAAGGTGAGCACTGAGCCCTAGACTGAACTCAATCCTACTTTTCAGGCCTCCTTCCTTCTTCTTCCTCCTCTCTCTCCTTCCCCCTTTCTCCCAGCTCTCCTTCCTCCTCCACTTTCTACTCCTGTAATGACAGAAAACTAAAATGGAAATGCAGAAAGAATATTTAAACTTAATGGCAGAAAGGAAATAATTAAAGACAGGCAGAGTCTGCCAAGCCCCAGATCTATCAGTTCTCTTCAAAGCTCACATTGCTAAAAGCAGATTGTGGACCTTGTGAGAGGTTTCAAAGTCATTAAAGAGACAAAGACTCCAAAACCAAAAAAAACCAGTAGCCATAAACCAATTTTATTATTTCTGAAAAATGGAATGTTTCACTTACAGAAACTTAAAAGCGATGTCTGACCAACACCACGTTCATTACAAACAAACAAACAAAAAATAAAACCAAACCAAACCAACCCCAAACCAAAGTTGACACAGGATTTGGCTACAGCGCAGCAGCAGTCTGGCATGTTTAGAATCACAACCTCAAGGTGACCCTGGGTTAACAAAACTCCCAGCCACGGTCAGGTGGCATTAAACCCCCCCGGGGCACGGGAGGCGTCAGTAGCGGCGGCTGAAGCGCGGCTCACCCAGCCTGGGGCTCCTCTGGGCGCCTGCAAACGCCCCGGGCACAGCCTGGCCCTGCACGGCCGGGCCCTGGCCCCCGGAGAAAGCTCCGCGCCTGCAACGACAGCGGGGCAGCGCTGAGCAGACTGACAGACAGACTGACAGACACACAGAGAGAGCTCCCTGCCAGGGCATCACTGGACAGACACACAGACAGACAGACACACAGACAGACACACAGACACACAGACAGACAGAGGCTCTCGGAGAAAGCTCCGCGCCTGCAACGACAGCAGGGCAGCACTGAACAGACTGACAGACAGAGCTCCCTGCCAGGGCATCACACACCTCTGAACAGACAGACTGACAGAGCTCCCTGCCAGGGCATCACTGAACAGACAGACAGACAGACAGACAGACAGACAAAGGCTCCTGGAGAAAGCTCCGCGCCTGCAACGACAGCAGGGGCAGCGCTGAGCAGACAGACACACACACAGACGGACAGACACAGCTCCCTGCTGGGGCAGCACACACCTCTGAACAGACAGACAGACAGAGCTCCCTGCCAGGGCAGCACTGAACAGACAGACAGACAGACACAGTTCCCTGCCAGGACATCACACACCTCTGAACAGACAGACAGACAGACAGAGCTCACTGCCAGGGCAGCACTGAACAGACAGACAGACAGACAGCTCCCTGCCAGGGCATCACACACCTGGGAACAGACAGAGACACAGCTCGCTGCCAGGGCATCACTGAACAGACAGACACACAGACAGACAGACAGAGCTCCCTGCCAGGGCGCTCCTGGGGAGCTGAGAAAGCTCAGAGAAAATGAGAAATCTTATCTTGGTGCACATGTGGAATGGGTTATGGAGATTTTTTTCAGCAAAGGGTGATTTCTTAATTGGATGCTCGATGGTGTTTGGATGGACTGACCATTTAGCTCAAAGTTGTATGGACACATTGGACACATGTGGAATGGATTATGGAGATTTGTTTAGCAAAGATGATGAAGAAATCAGAGGGTGATTAAGAAAAGGGTGTTAAGAAATCACCCTTTGCTAAACAAATCTCCTTAACTGGACTCTGGTGATGGTATTTGGAGGGTGTTCCTGGGAAGCTGTGAGAAAGCTCAGGGAAAATGAGAATATTCTTATCTTGCTGCATCTGTTGTTGTGCACATATGGAATGTGTTAAGAAATCACCCTTTGCTAAATAAATCCCCTTAACCCATTCCACATGTGCACAACAACAGGTGCAGCAAATGAAGGTAAGAATTGTTCCTCATTTTCTCTGAGCTTTCTCACGGATCCCCAGGAACACCCTCCAAACACCATCCCCAGTGTCCAGTTAAGGAGATTTGTTTAGCAAAGGGTGATTTCTTAACTGGACTCTGGGGATGGTGTTTGGAGGGTTTTCCTGAGAAAGCTCAGAGAAAATGAGAAACAATTTTTATCACTTGCTGCACATATGTTGTGCATATGTGGAATTGGTTAAGGAGATTTGTTGAGCAAAAAGTGATTTCTTAATTGGATTCTGGATGGTGTTTGGAGGGATTGACCAATTAGGTCAAAGCTGTGTTGCACTGTGTGGCAAGGGTGATGGGTTTTTCTGAAGAGAATTTAGTATTAGTACAATAAAGTGATTGATCAGATTTCTATAATCATGGAGAGAAACTTGTGACCTTTTTGACTTTTTAAGCAGACAAAGAATAATTTAGTCACTCCATCAACAGGGGGCACATTCCTACACTCTGAAAGGTGTTTCTTTAATTTGTTGGGGTTTTTTCCCCCTTGCTTATACAGATCAAAGTATTATAAAAGCATTATAAACATTCTGATAGAAGTTCTTACCCTGATGTCCCTCCTCGAGTCATCCCATGGCCTGGTCCTGACTGACCAGGCATGCTTCTATCACCACCTAATTCAAAAGGAGAAAAAAAAGGGAAAAAAAAAAAGAAAAAAGAAAAAGACAAGTTTTTGTGTTTCCCTAATACAAATGTCACCTTGTTCCCAGAATTTCATTTGATTTCTCAGTAATTCAACTACCACTAGAAGGTTCAGCAGCAGTAATTCACAGAAAAGAACCACAATCACACTGGTAAGCAGCAAGTGTACCTTGCCATCTCTCATGATCCCGTCCCATCACTCCTCCATCCACATTTCCCTGCCATGTACGATCTTGATGCCCCTCTAACTTTCGACCATGATCTCCCCAGTCACGTCCATCTCTTAAAAAAATAAAAGAACATCTTCTAGGTATGTCCCCTACCCACTGAGCAGCACAGGGTAAAGCCAAACACCATACCCCATGCCAAAGTGTGTTAAATGGTTAATCAAGCTAGAGCTGTAGCCACCCAACCACTCAAAGAGAAACAATGACAGACACTTGCTGAACAGCATCCTTCACACAACAAAACTGGGCTTTTTTCATCCAGAGACATCATGGATATTGCAATGGACTGAAATACTCAGGAATGGATCAATTCATTGGCTGCCACTCCTCTGTCTGAAAGTCATGCAGCTGGAATTCACTGCCCAGCTTGATTCACTGGTTTAAAGAGAAACCACTGCAATTCAGGTGAGTCCAAGTTCTCTACCCCCACCACTGCAGAGACT